GGTGGAGCTACGGCAGCATAACTGCTCGAACTGCCACAGAATGGAGAGTTAGAGCAAATTATATTTAGCAGGTAAACTATCATTATTTTGTGATTTAAGAATGCATTATAAATTGTTTAAAATTTGTAAAAGATGTTAAAATTATTTAAAAGATGAAAATAGATGGTGAAAGATTTCTTTTTTCAGAGATTTCAATAAATCCTTTTTATCAAAATCTCCTAAAAGTAAAATTAGTGACTTTTGGAATTCAAATCAGATAAAGTGATGTCAATAGTCCTAAGTTTTTTGAGATCTTTAAACTCTTTTATTATTCCATAAAACAATTAATTCTCATCAGTTAATTTGCATCGATCTTCATTTTTTTTTTGCCTTCTATTATTAAAAATGAATAAAGAGCAATTTAAAAAGAATATATTATTTGTAAATAGCATAATTTTTATTATTATATTTTATAATACTGATCTTTGGAAATATGAAAAATTTAATTCGAATTTAGATGGATTACAAATCTTCAGGTTTATAAAATTATCATCAGGTTAATAAGGATAAGTGGAATTGACTATTTTTTTTATGTCAATCAAAAATAAACTTTAGGCTTTCTCAATCTTCCATTATCTAAACCCCTAAAACAATATTTATCATGAAAATATAAACAAGAATCCAAGATAGCCTTTTAGGAATTTAAAATCCTATACAACTAAGGTTCCCACCTATTATCTATACATTAATTCAAGATTGGAAATTTTTTATTAATTTTAAAATAAATAAGTAAATCAGGTAATTCTTCAAAAATACCAGATTACAATTCAATATGCTCAATACTACTTTAGATATTTATTTCTCAAAAAAACAAACTCAAATTAATATCAGGAGACAGAGATCGATCTTAAAATGGTATTTTAAGATCGATCTTTTCTAATAAAATATCTTAACTCTTTAACAAAAGGAAGAAGCCACAAAATTAATGTAAGGAACATTTTATTTCTTTTAATCCCAAGATTTGATGTGCGCCAGTTTTTGACTTATGTATCATAAGTGGCTCAATTATAATCACTACAACCATTTTTTTAGTGCTAATAAGTTTTTAGTCAAAATATCTATAATAGAATGATATGCGATAATTGTGATGCATATTTTTCAAAATAATCAATTTTATTGTTTCTGCTATCCCATTTTTTTTTTTAACATACAACTTCCATATTATTAAAATAACATCCTTAAGTCTATGCCTGATTTAGTAATAAATTCTCCTTTCAAAATTAGAGCACCTTTTGATTAAAATATTGACTATTTTGATATAAGAAGGATAGTAATATTAGAGGCAATTAAATAATAGTCAAAAATAAATACTACTTTCTTGTATAAAATTTTTTTGAAAAACTTGGGGTTAAAATTATACTAGAACATCTTGATAGTCATTTTACGATGATAGGATTGATAATTCTTCCTTAACATCCCATAAACGGATAGAGCTATCTCCACTACCAGATGCTAATAAAGTACCATCAGGAGAGAAACTGACTGAATAAACGTCACCTGAATGACCATCTAATTTGGCTTTTTATTATCCTGTCTTAACATCCCATAAACGGATGGACTTATCTACACTACCAGATGCCAATGTAGTACCATCAGGAGAGACATTAACTGCCATGACTCAATTTGCATGACCATTTCACTTGGCATTTCATTTGCCTGTCTTCGCAT